CTTCTATATATATATATATATAGATTAACAGAAATTTTTGTCACTACTACTAAAAAGGAAAAATGATAATCCGTCTCTTCAGAGAAAGTTTGTCTTCCTCGAATTCCTGATTGAAAAAAATATTTCTTTTTACGCTTTCTCCTTCTAATGCAAACGTGACATTCCATGCTTTGAAATCGCGGTTTCCATTTACGCGATTTAAAATCGCGCTTCGTGTCTCCACGATTTTAAAATCAAATATTGCGTTTCGTATTCACGCGATTAAAAAACCACTATTATGATTCGTGTTTAAGTGACTTAAAAAATATGCATCGGAATGCATATTCGCACAATTTTAAAACGAAGCATAAAATAATGCGATTTAAAAATCAAACATCAAGATTCATAATCACGCTATTTTAAAACCTGACATCGAGATCGTATTTACGGAATTTTAAAATTAAATGTCGAGATTCGTATTTGCGTGATTTAAAAACATATTGAGATTCATCTTCACACAAATTAAAATAAATAAATAAAATCTCGCATCAATATTTTTATTAAAACGTTGATAACATTCCGTAGTTAGTTAAATGTTTCTTGCCTACACTTTTTTCTTGCTTAAATTTCAGGTATTTTTTTAATTGTTCAAAAATTGCTTTTTTAACATTATATTTCTGGATTTCTATTTTCAATTTTTTTTTGGTTTCTTACCAAACTCATCCATGTATAAATCAATATAGAATTTTATTTAAAAAAAACAACAGAATTTTTTAAAATAAAAACCGTGATTTCAAGTGTGTTTCCCTAATAACCATTTTCATCATTTATAGCAGTTCTTTTAGGTTTTCATTTCGAAGTGTAAACTCTACTTTTTTCCTATTTTAGTCATTTTTAGCTAAAGTATATGCACCAAAAACAAACTCATAACTGGGCCAGATATCCCGCAAGAACTTCAAATCTAACAACCAGACAGTCGGAAGAAGATCTCGTGATATCTGAACAGTACTTTTCTTAAAACTGTTTTAATATAGTAAGAGGCTGCGACCTTTGCATAAGACGTTAATCCCTGTGAAATTATTATCCATTAATCATTAAAAAATTCTGCAAAATACAACAATTTAATAAATTATAAATTTGTTTTTATTATTGGTGTAAAAAGTTCAATACTTTTATTTAGAGGAAATCGTATTAAAAAGAATCAGTTGTAATAAGAATGATTGTGAAATGGAGATTCCCGTTTCGTTTTTCGATTTATTTCGCTGCATAACTAGCTTCTGGCATATATTTAGATGCGATTCACATAGAATAAATAATCAGAAATTTTCGAGAAAAAAAAATATTTGGACCCCTCCCTAAATATTGCAACCCGGCTGCGTGCCTGGATTCAAACGTTATGTCCATCAAGTAAGCAAAATTACAATTCTAAAACAATTGTTGCAGTTATAATTGTGTCAAGTTAGAATGGTAGAATCACGGTGGCTCACAGTATAAAGAGTTCGCCTCTCACTGTGGTGATACATGTTCGAATTCGAGCGGTGGCTGGTTGATACGAATTCTGCTCCCGGTACGCACCGACTTCAACGCTGACGTAAAATATCGTCAATGTTAGACGGATAGATGGATTAAAATTCCTTAACCCTGGGAGATTTTTTTGTCGTTTTGCACTTCATGTAACTCAAATGCGGGTTTGTTCCATCAAAAGATCCTCCAGGATAAGACTAGTTTGTCTCAATGAAGGAGTTTTCTTGTCTTAGCTACTTGAAGGAGATACTTGATCCAGGAGCTCCCTTATCTTCTGGATTGGGTTCAAAATTATAAGGCTACGAAGTTGAACATTGGTAGTCGTAAACTCAGAATTTGGTTTTCTGTTCAATGCCAGTTATAAAAATAATATAAAATAAAAAATTACTATGGTAAAACATTTCCGCTCTTTAACCTGTCCTTTATCCATAAACCTGACCGACAAGCCAAGAAAAGCATGGTTAAAGTAAACAGTTTGCTTTATTTGTAATTTCTTTGGGAACCAATGGAAACTCTGAATTTTTTATTGTTGAGTCTTGCTATTTAATATAAGAAATAAAAAAAAGAATATCAAGTTGGCGTAACAAAAGGAATGATATGACTCGGTCATCAACAGCTCTCTGTAATCAGATCACGTATACGAAGGGCCCTCTTTTATAATTATTTATTTCTTTTGTAATCTTTCCCAGAGAATCGGTGAAATACAGGCAGGTTTCGAACCTCCGCTGGAGATAAAAGAGGGAGTGTCCGTCCTCTTACTATTCTATTATGTTGGTTTGAAGGATCTTGTAAATAAGAGTAAAACACAAAAACTGCACATCATTCATCACTGAAGAGCGTCTGCTTTATTTCTTCGGGCTATGATTAGAACAAAATACATTGATATGAAACTTTTTTTCTTCTGCTTTAATTTCGGTGAGGGGGCTGCGAAGGCGGATCTGACAGCGGAATTATTCTAAAAGTGGTGCCAGCATTTAGCCATTGTATCCAACCACTATTCTTCTAATGTTTTTAACTCTTTTTTTTTGCAATATTCATTATTGACTAACATACTCTTCTACATGTGTAACTATCATTAAAGAAAGCTATATATTAATTGGTGACTTAGATAGGGTACTATTTTATTTTATGAGTACTCTTGCCTCGAGAATTATGACAACTCACCTTCGGGGTGAACTTTTCGAACGAAACTAACAAACATTTACGTTACATGGAGGGGAAACACGGCGGATCCTTTACACGGTTAGTTCGATGTCATGGGAATCCCACTGCATCAGTCTTGAGTTATTTCATCTGGTGACTCGCACTGTGGTATTTCATTTCAAGTCTTTTCTTTTTGTAATATATATATATATATATATATATATATATATATATGGCAGCAACCTTTATCACAAAACCCTCAAAAAGTTTATAAATGATTAGCAAATAAACCATGTAGGCTTGAAACAATATTAAATTTAACTTTCCTAATAAACACACTAAGTGGTTTGCAATAAGTTTACATAAACACCTCTTTTATATCGAAATTTAATTTAAAAACTCTGCCTATCATCATTAAAAAGAAGTTGCGTTTGAGAACCTTATCAAACAAAAAATAAAAATTCCTAAACTAGATTTGCAATAAAAGCTAAGAAATAATATATGTATATTTTGTTTATAAAGACTTATGCGTGCCTTTATTTAATCTTTAAAAAAATAATATTGGCAGTGTAACATTTCTGCTTTGTAGCAATAATGTTTAACTAGTCAACCTAATAGTGTCGATCAAAAAAAAAAATGCAGCGTTTGTCGTAAAGTTGGTTGCCATCTAGGGACAATGTATCATGTTTTAGAAAACCCATCTACTAAATAATGCAACAAATTTCATAGTAAAACAATGCCAAACAACAGAGACTTTAAAAATAAACTAATGATGTCAATTTTTTGAATGGAATGTTGAAATTATATGATTAATTTTAAGTTTTACTACAATCGTTGCCAACTTATACGGATATTCCCAAAGAGCATTGATGAATATGGGTCGAAACATCAAACATGCCACCGAATGTGTAAACGGAATTGGTTTACCATTGGGATGTTACTGGGTTTGAACAAAAATATGGAAACACTTCTATACCAACTCCATGTGCACAATCTTTCTTTTTGCAGTAAAAGCTTTGGAAGGTGGCAAAACTGTCGGCACATGTTGAAAAATCATGCTGAACATTTTCAGAAATGTTGCTCTTTTTACTCATGCGAAATTTATAGACTAAAATGAGCGTAGAAGGTTAAGAGCTTTTTTTTTCTTCAATTTTTAATCTAACACAACAATAATATTAAAAGCTTTCTTAGATAAATATCGCAATCCTAGGATTTCTAAATTACTGGTAGTAAAACTAGAAACGGAGTTATTAACTTTCTTTCCTCATTTTGGTCGATCCGAATTTTGCTTCAGTAGAAGTAACATCTTTTCTACGAACTTCAAGCAGGATGTTTCAAGTTGTATGAACAGTTTTGCCACGTAAAAAAAATAGCTGCTAAAAGAAATTTTGTTTAGATCGAGCTAGTTAGGAATTGTTTCCACATTTTTGTCCAACCCCTGTGTGTCATTTGACCAAGACAGGACACATTGAATATTTGTATTATGTAACTTGGTGAGTGTACAGTGAAACCTCTCAGGTGTTCCCGAGCGGTAAAATGGTTCTAGAGTAAAATGGTTGTTAATGAAGGTTGATTGTTCTTAGAGGTTGCCTTCTTTGACTTTAAAATGTTATAGAAAGTACATGATTTTTCGCAAACAATTTTAATTTTATTTAGTGTCATTTTCTCATTTCAAGTTAATGACATTTCTTCACTTCAAGATCCTACTCTTCGGTTGTATTGATGAAAATTATTCTCTTTTCGCAGTGAATGTGGTAGAAGCTTTACAAGAATTCTGGCAGATGAAACTGGCCAGGGGGGCTGATCTCAAGAATGGCGCACTTGTGATATATGAATCTATGCCATCTACGAACCCTCCATACGTCTGCTATGTCACATTACCTGGCGGCAGCTGTTTTGGTAGCTTTCAGGTAAGTTTTTGTCTAATTTATTTATTGTCTACTGAAAACCCATTATCCGTTTAATCCATTTCCGACTGTGTTGTAGAGAAGGCGCAAAAAATGGGGTAGCATACCTGCCTATTTCTCGGAAGGCTTTATTTTACTATTTAATGTGGTAGCATAATTTATACATTCACCCTTTATTCTTACTTGAATAAATGTGATTTAAAATTATTTTGACTACCTTAAATTTAAATATTTATATACAGTAGGCCTGGTAACTCTCTGAAAATGTGTTTAGGTGCTGAATAAATTTTAATGAAATGCTAGCTTGAAAGGGTATTTTCTTACTACAGAGAAAAAAGTTTTTGAAAAGATTGAAAGTTAATAGGTTTAAAATTAGTGTAATGCTTACAGTAATTTTATATTCTCTAGAGTTAACTACCACTTAAGTATTAAAATGATGCAGTGTCCTATTTTTCAGATCATAATACAGATGTTTGCTTTCTTAATATATTTTGGTAAACACGAATGTCTAGTTTTTCAAAGATAAATTTTAAAAGTGAAAAAATTTAGCTATCAATTTTTTTCTCTTTAAAAAAGTTCATGAAAAATGTTGACTCCTAATGGTTTCGAAGAAAGTAGCAGATCCTGGGCTCCCTATGCTCCCCAAAAATTTTTCAAGTGGTTGTAAACCTAATATTAATAATTGTTAATTTTCAACGTGACTACCACTACTTATTAACAGGTAAAATTTTTACTTAAGCTAATTCCTTATTTCTCTTTTTTAGCTACCACTTTAGTTTAAAAACACAACGATTTGTCTTCAGTTACAAATACATAGTTACCTGTTTGGTATAATATAAATGTTAGTAAATTAATAATTAAATTGCGAAGAAATTTCTAAACGCCAAGCTGCTTTCAAAACATTTAATAGCATAACTTATAACTCCCATTCGTTCGTTCGTTGTAGTGGAACTGGGAGTCTGAGGCCTTACGACCCTTTTCCCATTCATCCTGAATTTAAACTTAGAAACATACATGACAAAATTAAAGTTTGGGGATCAAATGGAGTTCTAACTTATAACTCCCATACTAATATATCTAATATAGATATATTTTAATAACTTATTTCTTGTGGTAGGTAAAGCAATTTTTTTTTAAATCTTAAAAATTAAAATTTATGCATTAAAACTAAAACTAAAGTGGTAGAAAAATTTGGTTGCTGCTGTTGTAAATGAATGTTTACATAGTGTTAGTATAAAAGCGTTTGTATTAAATTGACTTTTCTTCTCCAAATTTATATTTAAAAGAGAGATAATACTCGTCTTTAATTTTTCTGTTTTATTTTACTCAAATAATAACAGTAAAATTTAATAATAATGTATAAATTACAGTTTTTTCATATCCAGTAAATTCCACTTTACCCCATTAGTCAACGGATGTTTGTCTTTGTTTATAAGAAACTGAGAGTGAAAACAAACCAGAATAGGTGATATTGTCCTCTTAGCTGGTGTAGAAAAAAAATTCCACAAATACATAATTCAAGGTAATTTTTTTTTAGAAAGAAGTTTATATTTTAACAAAATTTCCAGACACAAAAGGAACTAATTATAATATTCAATTCATTTTATTTATTTATTAATAAAACCTAACATTTTTAAGTCATCTCTGAAGAAACGTAAACATAAATAAATAAAAATTTAAGCCATCATACTTTCTTACGATTAGAAGTTCAGATGCCTGAGTGTATATAGAAGAATAAATAATTGCTGATCAGGAAACGAGAAGTTAGAAAATTTTCCCGCAAGGGCTCGACAATTAGAAGGGGAAGGGGGAAGGTCATACCTTTCTCTCAGTTTTTATTTGTTTATTTACTTAAGACTGATTCATTTCCGTCGGCTGTCGTCAATGGAAACAGTTTCTGTTGCAGACGGTGTGGTGTTCTGAAAACAAAACTAATCCAATTTGTTTTTGAAAACTAAGTTAGCGATTTTGTTTAAGTTTGCGAGGAACGCTGCAGTTAGGGCAAGGCAAAAACACTTTTTTTTTTTAATTATTAATTTTTTAATTTATACTTTGTGCTTTAAAAACGGTAAAGTTATGTCGAATTGTCAGATCCGATTCTCAGCGAAGGTGATATTAAACGTTGGAAAATCTTTATGTCTTATTGAAAAGTGACAAAATTCTTTTATATATATTACAGTTATTACGATTTTCGCAAATTTTATTTGCGGCAGTTTATGCGGCAATTTTATTTGCCCAGTTAGGGCAGGGCAAAAACAAATTTTTTTTTAATTAATTTTTTTATTTAATTCTTTGTGCTTTAAAAACGGTAAAGTTATATCGGATTGTCAGATCCGATTCGCAGCGAAGGTGATATTAAGTGTTGTAAAATCTTTATGACTTATTGAAAATTTACAAAATTCTTTTATATACATTACATTTATTACGATTTTCGCAAATTTTATTTTTCATTAAATTATCTAAATATGTTTTAATCACAACAGTCAAACCAAGAATAAAATATAAAAGCATAAATTTTGCCACACTGGTAAAATTATTTCTAAAACGTGTACAAGTTGGAACTTATATATTAGGCTATTTAAATAATCTGATAAATCAGAATTTTGTGTACGTAGTTCGTTTTATTTCAATAATATAAGAAGGAGAAAAAAAATCATTGTTCAATTTAAAACTAAATTAACTACATTTCTCATTTTTAGCTGCAATTTCATCGAAAAATAAAGAAAACTTCTAGATATTACATTCCATTCTGAATATAGATCAATAGACTAGAATTATTTTAAGGGGTCCTTTAGTTACAAAGAGTCAGAAATAATTTTGCTACTACTTTTTAAACTTTTAAGGACGTAAAAATTGGTAAATCGTTAACTGATAAATGTTTAATTGCTTATTCACTAATATTTGAAATGTTGACTAGTAATTTTATATTAGACAATCAAAAAACCCCAGTAAGTTTATTTTTCCTAAATTGAGCGATTTGACTTCAAAATTATGAGACAGCATAATTTTTGTTGTTACAAGACGCATAGACTGATTATAATTTGACTTATATAATAGAATTAATTGTTATTTTAAATTGAAAGATGATTTTATTTCAAAAGATCTAAATAAATAAAAATACAAAGACATACATTAGCACACATACTCTCCAACTATTGCATGATTTGCGTAGTTTCAGAAAATATTTTCCCTAGTGGTCGTCAAAAGACATAGAAATATTTTTTCCAACTAAAGCAGAAAACTTAACCCTTTCGCGCCGACTGTCACAAATACGTGCCAGCATAAAACCATATCAATCAGGGTGAAAAGATAAAACTGGTAATCAAAGTATTTCTTTAGCAGTTTATTTGTGGGCGGAGTTATAATTGTTTGATTTATTTAATTCACCATTACTTTAGTTCAAAATAAAATTATTTACTTATACTTTGAATTAACATCGATTATATATATGATTAAACAAACAATAATTAAAGTAAAAGCAAAGAAAGTCTGTCAAATAAGCAACGATTACCTTTTTTTTATTTAATTACAACTTGATGCTGATTTTATACGAATGCTTTTCTGAATCATCAGTCCCAGGGATTAATAATTCCAACGAAACAGTATAAAAGACAATAATAACTTTTACATACAACCTTTTTATATACCTTCTATAATTATTACATCTTGTAGTGGAAGTTATTTCAAGTCTAATTTATTAAAATATGTTTGAAGGGAGAAAAAAAATATATAATCTTGTCTTGTTTTTGGATCTGGGGCGCGAAGCAGCCCCTATCCCATTCATCGTGGAGTATTTGTCATTTTGTTTGGTTTTGTTGATGTTAGCAGATTGTCAGGAGGATTCAAGCACTTTGCTTGAATAAATAATAATAATGGAATAGGAAACGAAGCAGCTTGCTCTAAACTATGGGTGACTTGAGTTTTGGATGCTGGTTGATGATGAAAAAAATTTATAAATAAATAAATAAATCTGAGGACTGTTTTTGAAATGTTCAAGTGGTAGTTAAATTTAAACATTTTAAGTAGCCTTTAAGAAACCTTAGCAACTATTTACTGATTTTTTTCAAATTGTATCAACCCAAATACTTTTACATATCCGTGATTTCAAAAAACATATCTAAATTATAAAAAATTTGGAATGATTTTTAAATTTGAAATGTGGCAAAGTAGTTCCAGTAACTTTATAAAACGTTTGCACTTCTGTTGAAATATATTTTACTCCATAACACCCGAATTTTTATATTGTGGTGCCATTAAAACTGATCCTATTCATAAAACAGCAGACCGTTTAAAGTGATTGTTTTCCGTTCTTAGCAGGATTGCCATAGGCGACTAAAATTGCAAAAAGTAGTGACTAATAAAATTCAAATTTTCATTAAGAGAAACTAGAAGTAGCTACCTTTTTTAGCATATTTTTTTCACGTTGCTATTAAAAAGTTTTGCCCAAAGTATGAATAATTTGAAATGTAAGTCATAATGGTAGTTACTATTGAATAAAGAGATAATAAATAAACAAAAATGAATTGAGTTTCTACCACTTTGTACGTAGAGGGTCCATAAAGGGTCGCCTGTGGCATCCCTGCTTATAGCGACCCCATCAGATTTAAAAATATTTACTCTATGATTTCGTACCATAACAAATTTGTTCACCTTAACATACTATGGTGGATAGAGAGAATAAAGCTGTTTCTTAGAGCTCTCGCGGGGCTGATGCTAAGATAACTACCACATATGAGTATGAGTAAAGCTGTTTCGCTTACCACTCTTTACCTTTTTTCTTTTCTTTTTTTCTTGGCTTGTTTTCCGATAACGACGCTGGGCGCTGATAAATCAGAAGAACCGTGATTTATCTGTTTTCAGAAAAGTTTTTGTTTTTCCTTACTTAAAAAGTAATTCCGAGACACTTGTGGTGGTTGGTTGTGTTCAGGAGATGAATAGATTGAGTTTACATTTAATTAGTATTTATTTTACATTTAATTATTAAGTATAAAAAGGGAAAATAT